CTATCTGAATATATCTGTAGAAAAAACACTTTAAAATATAGTTTATTAGAAAACTTTGTTCTGCTTTTCATTTGTCCATGTTTAAAATGTATCAAAAAACTAAGTTTTGCATATATTCTAGGTAGATATTACAAGAAAATAGAGTTCCAATTATAACAATTTTTACTTTTAAACGAATTTTCTTATTGAGGAAAACAAGATGTTTTTTCCTTTAAATTTATTTATCCTTCCATTGTCCCCTATTACCATTCATGTCTATAATGAACAACAAACAAGGCAAAGTCAGTTGTCCTGGTATTTCTCGTAGGGTAGTCGGAGGAAACATTTCTTCGGAAGTCAAATCGATGCTGGGCCCCTTTGACAGCTTGTTTACATCAACTAGCGGCCAAATCGGCAGTCGATAAGGCCAGGCTCACACCCCCCACAGCCCCAAGCACCACAGCCCCAACCCGCCTGTATAAGCTCATCAGGCTAAAATGTCTGCCCTTGGCTATTACGGTCTATTACGGTTTGCTGCCAAATGGTTCTCCGATGTTTTCCGGTCCGAAGTCAAACGGGAAACCACTGAAATTAGCCACCAGGAAAGCGCCGCCACGAGTTGACGGCTGGATAGACGGATGCCAAAATCGGTGTTCTCAATTAAATATTTTAAATATTTTTCAGTGTTAATAATTCAGACTGTTTCGCACGCCACGCAAGCCTCAATAATGAATGCGAAAAGTTTGACAAAACGGGTCAGAGCGAAAGTGGGTGAATTCCCCCCTGATGATAGTTTGTACATTTTGGGAAAACGTTCTGCGAATTTTAGCAATTCCAACTTGTCCGAAACTGAACGGAAAATCGCCTGTCAATTGATGGACACAAACGCCCGCCGCACAGTGTCATAAAATCTGGGTCGCGGATGTATCATAAATCAATGGAAAATGCTCTGAGTTAAATTTAATTTAAATCTCAAGGTTCTGAGCCTGCGACTGCTTGCCATTAATGCCAAATAAAATAATAAAACACGCCATAAACATGCTTCGCTTCCAAAAAAAAATAAATGAAAAAAAATACTGCTTTACATGTGACACAAGACACGGTGGCGTTCGCGAACTTTGCATGGCTCAAAAATTGGAAGCGGTCGGAGGGGCCAGAGCTGGCACAGAATGCGTTTACTGGATGCCGGGGCGCCTTCTGATTTTTCCAGAGTGACGCCCCCACGCAGGCCCGGAACCAAGGACTCCCCGTTCTCCCCGAATCTCTCGGGTACCGCGGAAAAAGCCAATATCGCCGGGCCTGACGGCGCTTGTGATTCGGCGGATGGTGATGGCAATGGGTGACGCTGATGCTGATGGTGACAACCACTGACATGCCCCGCACACTGCCGCAGGACTTGTGTGTCAGTGGGTGGCTAGGGTGTCCTCTCGCTGGGTGGTGCTTGGGCCCAGGGCCGGGCAAGGTAAAAGCCAAATGCAAATTCCGCCAGTATTGGGTTTGCTTCGCTCACACGCTCAGTGTATCGATTTAACTGCCCGCTCGGCTTCCCGGGGAGCGACCTCCTCCGGCGGATCCTCCGGCCGGGCTGTGGTTTGTTTTGGGTTTCATTCTCCGTTGGATGTTTTTTTTTTTTGCCCGTTGTAGTTGTCAGCATCAGCAGAACATTCACGTACCCGTTGTACTCGGCTTACTCGCCGTGCTCGTTGTTGCCATTGTTATTTCTGCTGTGCAGGAAATTGTTGTATGCAAACATTAAATTTTCAATAGGTCAATTTCGGTTCAGCGCCCCGGGCTAAAATATTTTTGCAAAACACATTCAATTCCCCTGCTTTTTTGCCGGCCTTTTCACAGTTTGTCGCTCAGGCTTTTCTCCTTTTTGCATGGCTTTTTCGTCCTTAAATTGAGGTTATCAAACAGATTTTCGCACTTTGACCACTTGAATGAATTGATTTGGAGAAAAAACCAACATGGAAATCGAATCAAAAAATGCTTGTGCAAATATCGAAATAATTGCCAGTGACTTTGATGGACATTTATGTACCTGGGCGCACGTGCAAAAGCACCATCGGTGTGTGTTTGTTGATTTGCGGTTTCGTTTTCCCTAAGGATTTTCCGTAAATAGTTTTCGGCTTTTGTTTGGCAAAAAGTTATTATCTCTGCCTGAGTCTGACAGCCCGAAAAAAGTATTGTTTCATTTTTAGCCTGGCTGGGATCAACACGAAAACCTTCAGTCATATTAAACATTTAGCTAGTCCCTGCAGAGAAATACTCCTGATGGCTTGTCTTTGCCTTAACTTGAGTAGAATTAAGATAAAAGATTATCCCCTGGATTCACAGGATTCTGACTAAATGAAATTAAAGAGAAACTGTTATAAATTCCATCGCATCGTTTAATAGCATTTGCTTTTTATTTGTGGTTATTAATGTGGCACCGTAACATGAAAAGCCTTGGGCGGTAAAGTGTTTATAATTGAATTGCCTCTATGGAAAGATTTATGACAATTTCGAAAATAAATTTGATCCGGCTTAAAGTCATTAAAAAAATATATACTGTTATGACAAGCGGAATTTGCAAACTAATTTACGGCATTGCATTTTAATTGGATAATCACGGATTCTTGGCAAACTTCCCGAAGCAAATTCCAGCAAAAAACAATGAGCAATTTGAGCTGCACTTCAAACTTTTGTCAAAACAGCGTCCAAGATTTCAGCAAGGCGGCTTAATTCCCGCTAACAACTAGAAGTAAATTATAATCTGCGTAAAACAATTTAAGCAGTTTGGCAAAAATGTCAGGCCCAGACTGACGGCTGTGGAGCGGCGTCTTCGTTTCGGCCGGAACTTCTGCTGCAAATTAGATCGTTGTCCAAATTCGATTGTTTCACTTGCTTTCCCGAGCTTTCCTTCTGCATTTTCCGAGAGCGACTGCGAGTACGAGAGCGAGAGCCAGTGCATTGGGTGTCCGAGAAAAGTTTGGCTCACAGTTCTAATTAGCACACTAAAGATATTCAACACTCAACGTAATTAAATGGAATTTTAAGCGATGCATCGCAGCCGCTCGCCGTTTGCCAGTTGGTCCAAAGAGCCTTTAATTACTGGCTTCCAGCAGCAGTGTTCCTTGTGCTCCCAGTGCTGCTCCTGCAGATAGCAGCTTGGATGCGGATGCGGCGCCGGATGCCAATGCGAATATGGAGGATGGAGTAACTTTTCGGGGGGCGGCTGCGGGTGGGCTACAAAAACTTGGCCGCACAAATTAATCATAACTTTGGAGGCTGCCACTGCTGCAGGAGAGCAGTGCCTTCATCTTGGACAAAATGTTGCCATGCCCGCCCATTAAATGTGGGTTAGCAGTGAACACACACACACTCCCTAGCCCAGTGCCAGTCCAAGTTGCAGAATCGTCTCTCCCCCACATTGCATTTGCATGCTGCAATTTTCTGTGCGTCGGCGTTGCCGGCTGTCCAATAAATTTCAGCTGTGCTGTGGCATTTATCAAAATGGCAAAAACTTTGCAAACGGCTGCAGCTGCGCAATGGCACGAGACAAGACATTCTCCCTGCCGCTGGCATCTCAAGTTTTCCTGTTTGTTTTACCCAAATTGCCTGCCCAAAACTTTACACTCAGAGCTGAGAGCGTGCCGTGAAACGGGTATCCTTTGGAATTTTTACTTAACATATTTAATTAAAAAAGAAGTCTATACAAGCAGCTTAACCTCTAAATATTAGAAACAAATACTCGATATAAATTAACTTACATATATTATAGGTAAATAAGAAAATATAAGGGTTTTGTTTGTATTTTAATGTTTTAAATATAAAATTGAATCTTGATACTGGTATAATAATATACCTTACTAATTATAATATCATATATACCTCTTATATTTGTTATTTTTTCCCCACATCCTGTTCTCCTCACGTGCGCATCCCTTGTGGCAAGGACTCAAAGTCGAGCAAGTCTGCTGCTGAATGTTGATAAGCAATAAGAAGCGGGACAACGACCGAGCAACTCCGAAGAGGCGGCAACTTTCCTGCCAGGCCGAGTTGACAATTCAAGGAGAGAGGAACTGCATTTTAGTGGAGTGGACGGACACACCTTTCAGCTTAAGCTCGGTTGTTGTAATGGTTTTCCATCTAGGACAAAGGAGGCAGCAGCAGTAGCAGCGTCTTTTATTGTTTTATGGTCGTGTTGGTCGTCAGCTTGTTTGGCTTGCCGAGATTGTCAATGTCCATCTAGTTGGGGAAAGTTGTGAAATATGTTTCAGGGAATGTAATAACTGCTAAAGTAACCATTGCTTTGTGTTTATAAGTAAAAATATGTTTGATAAACTGCATTTCTTCAAGTAAACTTATAAGATACCAGAAGCAAAGGAATTTATGATTTCAAATTTATTTCTGAAGTTAAGAAAATATATGGGAAATCGTTCTTAAATTAAATCTAATATTTTCTGTGATAGGAAACAGCACTTCGTTTTTCTTTTTAAAAGCATTTTTATGCATTTTCTGACGGATTTTTGGCTTAGCTATGTGAATCAAAAAGATTTTCACATTTTAAAAATATTTAATATTTAAGAAAATATAAATTGGTTTATGAAATTTCCGAAAAAAAAAGTTGCTGCTTTGTCGATCTACGACAAGTCTAAACATTTTAAAATTTGTTTTTTTTTCACAGCGAAAGAATATATAAATTTTTTATATATTTAATTGACTTAAATTTAATACCCTGCAAGGCTAAAATAATATTAAATAATTGTTGTTTAAATTAAAATATTAAGTAATTTACTCTGTTCTCACCTTTATACTGTTCACACAGGAAACTCCGTACTGTTCCCACAAGCTGAGAAAGAGATAGCTATAGAAACGCATGAGTTTTGCAGCACGCAGCTTTAAGTTTCGAACTTGACTTGAAAGCTATCTGCTTTGAGCTTTTGAAATTAAGGCAAGCAGTGCACAATTTTTATAGCTGTTACCTTTCGTATAGCCTAAAGAGCTGTTACTTTTTGAATTAAAAAACTTCCAAGTCATTTAATGCTTTTAATTTTAAGGTTTTTTATCTTGTTTTATTGACAACTTAAGAGAAGCAACACACATTTTGCCGGCATACATAAATACAGAGTTTTTAAATAAATAATATAAATAGCTAATGTCTAGGTGGAAGTCATAAATTAATTTAAATTAGTTTAGAGAGAGTCCAGCGGGCGGTGGCTGGGTGGCCAGGAGGCCGGGACCTAGACCTCGTTGCACTCCAGATAGAGCTGGCGACAGTCAAAGCCGGAGCGGCCCCTGCGTCCTGCGTCGTACAGTTCCTCGAAGCTGCTGCCGCTGCTGCGGCCCAGCACGTAGCTGGTGGCATAACTATGGAAAGTAGGGCTTTTTGAGTATCCTTTTTATAGGGCTCTATATAGTTGGTGAACTTACGATCCCAGCTGACAGAAGATGCTGCTGCCGCCGATTTCGCGCACGCACTCCGTGTTGGCATCGCACATGTAGCGCTGCGTGCACTTGTCCTGGTTCTGGTCTGCCTCCGAGCTGCGATAGGTGCGCACATAGCCCTTCATCAGGGAGATTCCGGCCACAACAGCGTCGCTCACCGAGTCCCGCTTGCCCAGGGAGCGGGCCGCCAGAGAACGGTGAGAGAAGGAGGTCTTCAGGGCGTCCAGCAGGTTCATCACGATCTGTATGAACTGTGGATGCGGAAGGGGTAGCGATGTTCAGTGGCGTTGGGTGTGTGTGGAGAGTGTGTGTGTGGTGTGTGCGGAGGTAGAGGAAGCATTAGTCAATTAGTCTTGCATTTGCTTGTGCCAATACAGAGGAGTGTGTGTGTGTGTATGTGTATGAGTGTGTAAATGCGTGTGTATGTGTGTGGTGTGGATTGGAACAATTTACACTCTCAGCACTGGGCAACAAGATTAGGGCATTTACCATGAAATATATTGAACTATTTAGCTTTAAAATATATCCAAACTTCCATTTGAGGTAATTCAAATTAGTAAAATCTATGTTTTAAAGCCTTTTAATGAGCGTAAATTATTAAGCATTCTTAAATGTCAAGCAGATCCTTAAATATAGCAAAATAATGTATAATTTAATTTATAATTATTTTAATAATTATAATGAGAGTAATACAAATAAATCTCATCTCTAACAAAAAAAAGCTGGAAACTTATAATCCACTCTACCTTTAATATTTTTAAAATTAACCGTTTTGTTAATAATCCCAAAACTGTTCTGAAAACAAAACTAAAACTCAGACAATTTAAATTTTTTTAAAGCAGACTTTGATGTGTTACAGGGTCTACATCTCTACATTTACTATTTGGACTGTAACATAAATTTAATTTCATGACCTTTAAGAAGTTCGAGTCATGCAAGAAATCATTCTATTGTATTCTTCTATCTATTCAAAACCCCCAGCTTAGACCCAAATCTTGTTGCTCGGTGTGGTTCTTTTGTGTTGTGAAAGCAATAAAGATGTTTTACCTCGCCAGCTTGCTTGGCCATCGAGTTGACTTGATCGGGGTCTCTGGAGCCTAAAACGGCCGACATCACAGCCACCAATATGCCCTGTGCGATTATTAGCGAGGTAGAGGTAGAGGAGGTAGGCGGGAAACAAACATAATCGAGAGAATAAGAAGAGCCAGGCACCAGAATCGTAATCAGTATCGGAATCAGTATCAGTATAAGGCATAAGATGTAAGATATAAAACAGAACGAAACGAAACGAAAACGGTAACGAACGAACAGCAAATTACGACAAAGCAAAACAAAAGTGGCACAAAAGCAATCAGTGAGTGTACACCTGTTAGGGGCTAATGGATCGATCGATTACCTGCATGGGAGATCCGCCGTTGTCGACCTTATCGATGCCATCGCTGGGAGCTCCGCCGCCCAGCAAGGTGTTGATGATGCGAAGACCTGCGGAGATACATAAGTGGGTTTATTGTGGGAAAAGCAATAAAATTATATTTTCTATATCTTTCCACAACCACTCACCCATGGAGATGACATTGGCCCAGGGACTGCCGCCCAAACCGATCGAGTTGTCCACATCGTCGGACTTGGTGGGCGCCTGGTTGACGGCTCCGTTGAAGAACATGGTCATCACGGTGGACAGCATGTTGGACCAGGTGAAGCCGCCGGGTCCGCCCACAGTCTCCTGAATCTGGTTGCTCTCCAGGTCATCCTCAATATCGTCCAAGGCCACCTTCTTGGAGGCATTTGGCTTCACGGCGAACTTCCGACCCTGGGCGGCCAAGCTCTCCTCCCGTTGGACCGGCGACTGGGTCACCTGATGCTGTCGCTGGTAAACCTCCTGCTGCGGGAAGGCGAAGGTCATCAGCAGGCAGTTGCTGGCCACGATGGACAGAAGCAAGCAGGCGTGCACTTTCCGTTGGTTCCACATGGCGACTGAAACGAGGCGAGATGTGGAATTAGGAGCTGCTTGACATTCAGCCGGGGACTGACCGAAGTCGTCCGCATAACAACACTTTCACATTGCCCAATTTTGAGTGGGGCACGGCGTGGCACGGGTCGGGAATGGGAATCAGCGGTGGCCCATTTGAGTGGCGCACGCTTGGCCCGATTTCAATTTGCCATTAGACATGTCATCATAGCCACTATTTCGAACTCGAGCAGACCCCACTCAAAGCTCAACAATATGTGGTTTTACTGATATTATTTTAATATACATTCTTAGCTAATGTGGGGAATATATCCTGATAATAAGACTACCAATTAATTTATTAGAATATTTTGTAGTTTATAACGATTTCTTACTTCATAATTGTTTTATTGTTTACCTGCTCTGGAATTCTGTTAACATTTTCACCCCAGTTTTCATTATTGTACTTTTGTATGCAAATATCTTTTAGATAATGCAGCTGATCCACAAGCTATAAGTATTATCTCTCCCAGCACTCGAGTCTCACCCAAGTACTTCCTAACTGTCACCCAGCGGGGTTTTCCGAATCATAGACAAAAATTTTCCCATTATATATGTTACCATTTCCATGGAAACCAGATAAGAAAGTTGTAGCGGCTTGTAATTAAAGCCGAAGCGTCTTCAGGCGCTTCCGAAACATCCAGAAACGGGTATAACTGCTCCCAATTAAGGTGTCGGTCAAAGCGAACCTGTTCGCCAGTATGAAGGCCCCCGGGCCGCGGATTGAAGATGGCATTTGAGGCAGGGAAATTACCCTAGTGGCAGGTTGCAGGTTGGGCAACGTACGTACGTAGAAAGCCGCCACAGGTGAGGCAAGGTGGCAAGTGCCGGCAATTAGACATCATCGCAGCTCCGCTGGATTAGCGATATTATGAGTACGGGTATTGGCATCGGAAACTGCTCACAATGGGCCGCGCCATCGAAGCGAATTAGAATGGAACTGCCAATGAAAGAGGCTCATCTCTTTCTGCGTTGCCGAGCTGCTAGTAAAGATATCAGAACCAGAGCCAGAACCAGTTTGAGCGGCTCTAACTAGCGGTTCTTTCGCTCAGATGTCATGCAGCAGGTTCCCGTTACAATTAATAAAGCCAACGAGGCTGCGGAATGCCAATGGCAGAGATTGCATTGATTTCCATTTAATTGCCGGCCACAGAAACGGGCTCCCAGAATGGGTCATTCAGTCATAGAGACGCAGAGAGAGAAAGAAATGTAAATTGTCGGGTCATTAATCGGGCAGCTAGTATATCGCACGGACTCCTGCCTGATGGCTTTGTGACACAATTCGACCCAGTTCCGTGGAAATTATGGCTCCCATGTAAATTTAGAAAGCCGCTGGAGCAGGCGCTCTCTTGAGGCGTGATCAAGCGATTAGACTGCCTGAGATAATGGTAATTAATAGCCGGAATGTGTGGCAGAGAAATTTTTATTGATTGCATCCAATGGAGGAGGGAGTTCGGCTCAGCTCAGGCGAAACTGTGATGGCCAAATTAGTCACAGCCACTTTTCGTGATCGGCTTGATGACATAATTTAGCTGGCATGCCCACCACGTTAGTTCTCCGCCTAACTAGCTCCGGCGAAAAGCGCATCTTTCGCCGAGAGAGAAACACGCAACTCTAATTGGAAGCCCCGCACGCAACTCTTACTTTCATGGCCTGCCTTAAAACGGCAATTAAAATCGAGGCACAAGCATTTCAATAGAGAAATAAAGAGCGCAGCAATTACACTTGCCACTGGTCAAAAGTCGCAAATTAGAAAGTGTGGAAACCGCAGTGGATGGCGAGGGAGAAACAGCGATTTCCGAGGGCGGGGGTGTAACACTAACCAAGTTCTTTGGCCGAGAAATATCATTGTAATTTATGAGAAGATACTCTCCCCCACAGACGTATAAGTATGTATTTATTTTCAGTTTCGTTTGCGGTCTCGTGCCGCAGCACGCTCCACCGGCTCCCTGGTCAAAGTCAAAGATGAGAAAGCGGTAAAACGTTCGTGATTTGCGGTAAATGAGCCAGCCAGCCAGCCAGCTGTCGGCTCCAGCTCTTGCCCGTCTTCTGTTTCTGGGAGTGGAGTGGAGTGGAGTGGCTGGGATCGGCTTGGATCGGATTGGAACCAAGGGGCCCTGAGTCATTCTGCGGGCTGATTTAGCCGGCTTTCTGGACTGTCATGGACTGGTTTCTGGGCTCGCAGAGAAACTCTGGCAGCCACAAATATTCACGTTTCACTTTCTTTTTGGCCAGAATCAAGCGGAGCCGAGGTTTATTGACCAAGAAAAGTTAAAATTTAATTAAATGCTTAAGCGCGGCACTTGCGGAGTGCTTAACCCTAATGGGGAATTCGCCGCGGCTTTCTAGCGAGTTTGTGCCCTAAGTCTTTCGTTTGCGCTGCTGGTCAGCGAACCCTGGAGGAAGCCAGCTGCCTAACACCCAACGACCGCCGTCGGCTGAGCTGCATTTTAATCAGAGTTCGGGAGGCGGGGAATTTATTGATTGTTCGGTAACAGCATGATGCAATGCCAGGACAGGTCGGCGATTCACTTTGGCGGTGAAAACGCCGAGCATTCCAAACTTTTACTGACCCCAAAATGCAGTGATAACCGCACGAAAGCAGAACAAATTGCACTTGCAATTGCTACAGCCATTATGGTTATTAGACAGCTGCTCTTGATGGCCAAATTGCAACTGTCATTGCCCGGATTCGCTTTGTTTAAGCCACAGAAGCAACAGAAATCACTGCACATTCTCCCGCCGACGGCAATTGAGAAAACAAATTCAGTTTGACTCGGCCTCGGCCCAAACATAAAATGTATTAAACACGACTTAACAGCTTCAAAGAAAAACTTTCACCTCGCTCAACTTGACAACCAGCAGCAGCAAGAAAAGCAATAACAGCAACGGCCACCGCAAAAATGCCAAAAGCAACCAGTGAATGAAAGCTACAAAGAAAGAGCCCTGCCGAATAGGTAAACAAATGGGGAACAATCGTGACCTTTGGCAGGCAATTAAATAAATAAATTCTATATGGGAATTGGCCAAAAGGCAGGCGTTAATTGGCCAGGCCAGAAGCACAGCAGCAGCCAAAGCAGACAAGGCAGAGGCGAAGACCCACATCGAATCAAGGCCACAGACAAAACGGCCGCAAGGCCTCCTCCACTTCAATGGGAGCCAAAGCCAGAGCCAGAGTCAGAGCCAGGCTGGAGGTGGTTTTGTGGACGAGGGGCACTCGAAAACGTATTTCTTTGGACTGACAGTCGACGGGCGCCCATTTGGGTCAGTGGGCGGCCATCATCGCCGGCTGGCTTCGAAAGAACCAACTTGGCTGAATGCACATTTCCAGGTGTGTGCGTGTGTGCTCGCCACACCTCAGCCCTCCCCGCCTCCGCGCCTCTTTTCCCAGGTGCTTTGACAAGTTCCACGCTCCGTCCAGTCGATGGGTTTTCTGTTTGCTCTTTTATGCAAAGTTGTTAACTCGTTTAACAAAAATCCTCCCTCCCCTCTTGCCTCTTGTTGCCGGGTTTATGCCCCGAGTTCTGTTATTTCTTTTGGCCTGACCCAAATATTTGGCTCTGGCCATATAGCCCCAATTTGTTGGACAAACAAACGTACGGCACGACTCGAGGCCGAATAGTGGCATTCGATCAATTGTCAATAACTTTCTATTGCTGGATTCTAGTCGCATGCATGCCTATACATATATGGTATGCGTTTCGGATTATTTGTATCTGCTGGATTTGGGGTTTTGACAGGAAGTGATTGTGCAGATTTCTGACATACCTAACAATAGTGAAAATGTAAGTTTTTTTTTTTTTTTTCAACTGTTAAAAACGTATTTATTTAAGTTAAATAATATACATTTTAATGCAACGATATTAATCATCAAAATTTCTCCCCTGGTTGTCTCTTTGGTTTTACCATAACTGAATCATCTTTAAATTTCATAAGAACTAGCTGTTTACTTTAAGATCAAATATATTTAACATGTATTAATAGTGTACCAATTTAATTCCCATTTTAAAACCTCTTTTAAATACTGAGCTGGACATTTGCAATTAAACATTTCCACTCACCTGTCGTTTTATCCGCTGTCTCTCCGTTCGATGAGTTCAATGCAATTAATCTAAACTTTAATTACAGTTTCGGCCGAGTTGGTCTGGCTCGACGCACTAGAAAAATTGCAAATTTTAGCACGCGATTGTCAAGCACACAATTCACTTAGAAATTCACCCAAAAATTACACTGGAAAATTGCTCTCTCTTTTCTCGACGCTCGATCGATGGGCACTTTCGTTTCGAGAGGCTTCGGATTTCACTTGGCACCGTGGCTCTGGCTGCTTTCGAAGTGGCTACTGCGTTGTTGCTGCGACTGCTGCTGGCGTTGTCTGAAACGGCGATCGCCTTGAACCCGGGCTTTTATAGCCTGACCCATTTTGGCCACTTCGCGAGCGGCCTGGAAGCGAGCCGAAGAATTGCAGCCGCGGAGGCATCGCCTGATGGCCGCAAAGTGTTCGACAGCGAACACGTTGGATGTTGGTAAGAGTGTCGCCATCTCAAGAAGTTACCAACTATTTTATGGTTTATTTTGAAAAGATAGTTCTGAGATTTCTATAAAATTATTCTAGGGGAATGATCCTCACATATGTAAACTATGGTATATATGAGACCAATTCATTAACTTTTAAGGTGATCTTATCTAGAGATTTCTGGGACCTTCGCAATATATTTAATTTTAAAAAGCCGGCAATAAAAATTTCAAAATTTCATGATTAAGTAGCCAAATGTGCACCTCCGATCTCATGTGTGTCGGGGCGCCTGCGCAGATGGCTGTCGAACGCGGCTCGACATCGAACAGGTTGCGTGCGTCCAATGCGCAGGTGTGATGGATGATGGATAGCGATCTTCTGCCAGATATTTAGTTGCCACCTTGTTTACCATTACTGTTAATGCGTTTATGGCCCATTGTTGTCTGTTGTCGGGTGTCTGCTTCCTGCAAATAGGGTGTAAACGGTGGGTGTGGTGATACCTGGGTGATCTACCTGGTTGATCTATCTGCTTCAAGGTTTTTCAGCTCATTTGCATGTCCGCCAGCAGTCGTTCACTTCGCCTGCTTTGTTTACCTTGGACCTTGACTGTGACAGCTCATCAGTAAAGTGGTCTTCAAAATGTAAGCAGGACTCATTTGGCTAAAGAATATATTTTATTAACCTTCGCTTAATATAATTTTAATTAATTCAGACTGCAAGTGAGGCACTTTAACTGGACACTGAGTAATGGACTTTAAGTAGATTCCTCAACTGCCCTTTGCTTGGACCAATCTCGGAGTCACTGGGTAAATTAGGAAAGTTCTGGGCTGAGAAAACATTTTAAGGGATTGCCCAGAAACAAAGAGGTTTTTTTCTAAATTGAACTACGAGGGGGGCTGGGTTACATCAGCCCTCCTGCTGGCCAACTACACGTGCGAAAAAGTTAAGCCGTCGAGGCAAAAGTTTGCCAAGGATGTCTGGCAGACATCCAGTCGGCTAAAGTCCACTGAAGGCCCCAGCCCAATCAACCCCTTCCCAGGTAGGAGCCCTTGCGAAATCAAATCGGAGAAATAGAAATGGAACAGCCAACGAAGGTTGCCGTCTCGAACTGCATTTGTATGTGTTTACATTTAGTTGTATTCGATTTGCATACCCGATGGGCACTGGGATTGGGACTGAAGCTGGGACCTGGATTGGGATTGGTTTTTGGGGCTAGTCCACCCGTAAATCAATGCCAACAGTGCGGGCAATCAGGAGTGGGGGCGGGCCTCCCTTAACCCGTCCAAGTGGATTATTAAGTGGCCTTAAAGCCGAGTCAAGTGCTACTGTTCCTGACTCTGTTCCTTCCAGGGATTGCTTGCTTATTGAATGCGAGTAAATGCGGTGGGATTTATGTAAATCCTGGCCAGAGCACCGACTATGCACTCAACATCAGCATCCATATGTGGATGAGTGGATGACCACTTGGCCATATGCTTAATGCGGCCATAATTGCTCCGCATTTGTTATCGTCCAGCGACTGACTGACTTTGCATATCGGGCCATTTCAGGGGGATTACCGATTTCCCGCTGAATTTATGTGCTCAAATCGTGCTCGTTTTTGTTTGCCAATTCCAATATTATTGTTTACACTCGCCCCACTCAATCACATTAGCCTAATGATTTTCCTGTCAACCGAAGGGCCGGCGGGAAGGGACGTGGCGGCCGCAGACTAAACATGGAGCATAAATCAGCTTATCAAAATCGGCATTCAGTAGTTCGGTTTATAATTTGTACAGGCAACACAATATTTGGCATAAATGATGAATTGTTTGCGGACCACAGAGCCAGCGCCAGTGGCATAGTGTGTGTTTTCGTGATGTGGTATTATCCGATAATTCGCCATGGGGCTGCATCCTGAACTCACAGAGGGAGCCAATAATTGAAGTTCAAGTGATTAGGATTTTAGAAAAACGACTGAAAACTACAAACCACATTAGTAGCCCGTATTTTCTATCCATCAATGGTTCTATTGTTTGTCTACCTAATAGTGTAAATACTTGTAGAACCTGAAATCAATGGAAATTCAATTCAAATTTGAATGTAGCAATAACTATAGTTAGTCTTTAAGTTAGCATCTGAAATGCTAACTTATAGATTCAACATTTCTGACTTCTGAAACGCATAATTTCATTATGCTACTGGCTTACATTTTAAATACCTAAAAGCGAAAGATGTGGAAAGTTTTTCCACCTCTCTTAAGTTCTTACAAATTCTGTTTAAAGAAATCGAAACTCGACAACAATTAGGAAACAATTTGATTCAATTAGCAAGTTCTTTGGCCCCAAAATTCAGAGTCAAAATTAGCAAGCCAGCCCAAAGTAAAGTGGCGGGGAAAAGGCTGACCCACATTCGGGCGGCGGCGCAGTGTAGACAAATTGAAATCAAGGCATTAGCCGAAAAAGAAACAAAAATCCCAGAATAGGAAAAAAGTTGTGCGTCAACATCTGAGTTGCGTTGGACAAAAGCCGGGAACGGGAGAGCATGCAGCATACTCTCGGGCTGAGATGGAAATTTATGCAGAGACCTTCACGGGCACGGCTCCATCCGATCATGATGTGTGCGAGTCTACTAATATGAAATCAATAAATTGTGAGCACTTTTTTTTTTATTGCCATCAGGGCTGGAGACCCGGAAAGCAGAGCTGTGTGTTTTTATTTACCCCGATTTGTGTCCCATTTTTTCGCTTTTTGCATAAGGGATAAAGATGCCAAAGACGATGACGCTGCCGTCTTAGTGGGGTCTGGCTGGAGATAGGATTGGGAGCTGAGACTTCGGCCCGGGCCAAAGGAGAGAGAAACTGCCACGCTCTGCGAGTTTATCGGCGCAACATCCACTCCAGAAATAATGATGTCTGCCGGCTGAGAGTCGGGTAACAACGCAATGGCAACACAATCCCAACCCGAACCTAACGGAAGGCAGCTGAATTTGAACAGCGACTCTGCGGGCAAAGGCCAAGACAATATTGCCAAGTCCTGCATTAAATATACTCGTACTCTTACTCGTACTCATACTCGTTTAGATTGCTGCATTTGTTGTCCTTAAACAATGAGGAGGCAGGCAGATAGTTGCAAGTGATTCGAATGCGAACGCTCTTTGCCATGGCAACCAGCTCTAAGGGGGAATTAAGTTTATGAAATAAAGCAGCGATTTTATGAGATTTGCGAAGGGACAAAAGGGTTGTGCAGCACACAGGGAACAATATTTCTCTGATTTCCTAGTAATCAACTTTTAGCTTGAACTTTGCAAGTCAGCTTCTATTTAAACTTCAATGACGAGGAGCAATGAAAGTAAATAACAATGGGCGACCATTAGAAGTTTGCCAGAAGACTTGACTTCGTATATAAAAGAAACTAGCTTGGGAAACTAGTTACTTTGAGTACAATTTTAATAAAATCAGGGTATTCTCTAGACTAAAACCTCAGTATATTCAATTTCAACTTGAACCCATCTCCTCATTAACAGCACGCAGAAGTTAAAGCCCCAACAGCTCCCCTAAATGGGGCAACATGTTTGCATATTACCACGTCACCATCAATGCCATGGAATTAGCGTCCTGGAATTAGAGCTGGCCACATCCGCAGCCGGTCAAATGCAGGTCAACTTGGCCTGCCAGCTTCCTCCGGCTCAGAGGGCCTGTCATCTCGGCCAGTAATGGACTTATGCAAATTAGCGAGTCGTACCGCGCGCAGAATATTGCATTTCAATCAATATCCCAGAGCCCGCCTGGCATTTCACATGCGTCCTGCAATTTATGCGGCCAGGTGCATTGATATGTTAGGGAGTGTTCGCCTGGCAACTGTAAATCTGAATTCCTGCCCATTCTGGGGCTCTCTATCATGAGCGATCGAAAGAATTGAGCTTCCAGCAAGTTAACTTGGTCTATATAGCTCTATCCACCGCTCATATGGCAACTTTTTTATTGCCATCCATCAAAACGGATTTAAACATTAAAAATACAAGCTGGCAACATGTTTCGTCCATATAAAAAAAATATATAAAAGTGAAAATCAAACAGCTGTTTGGTTTTGATTTTGCTTTTTACGACACAACTTTCGCCCTTTGCTGCGGGTTCATAATGCAAGTTTAATCTTAAAACAATACATTGAAATGTTTTTATACAATTTAGTTTGCATGGAAATCTGCCCAGCATCCGCTCGCCGACAGATGGGAAAAGGCAAAATTACCGGCGTATCCGTGGACGGTCTCCTCCGCAGAAGCAGCAGCAGCAGCAGCAGCAGCTGTTGACGAATGTCCTGGCCCAAGGGTATAGGGTTACGGGTCTCCCCTCGATCCCGCTGCGATTCTACGGCTCTCCGGGACTCCGATTCTCCGCCGCGCGCATTGGGCACCGGCAAAGATAAAGTACATTTCTGTGATAAATATAACAACAAGTACCCAAGGCACGCACAAATGGGGCCCTGGGCCCATCAGGGCTCGGGTGAAAACGCATTCAAAATTTCATACCCGAACCTGCAAAGGGAGGGAAGGGGTGCCTACACAGGGAGATGTTAGATAACTAAATATAAATTATTCATAATTTTATTATCAGATGAACTGTTGTAAAATATTTGAATATTTTTATCATTCTATTGCTATTGTCGGCAGGAAAAGTTGGTCATAATTTGTAGAGCGGAGTATGCATTTTCCACATAAATTGATTGCAATACCGTCTCATTTTTTTGCGTGTAGATTCTGGCAGCTGTTATAATGATGCCGACGATACATCATCGCAAAATGCTAACATTTTCGGCAGCTCCGGCAGTCAACAGCTGTTGCCGCTGATGAATCCTTTGGGTCCAGCAAGCCA